AGCAGATTACATAATTTTAGCAATCAGAAACTATCAAATCGAAATTGAAGTTTCAAACTTTCTACTTGAATGTCAATATATTTTGTGTTTTTTTAATCTCATCAATTTTTTTAAATATAATAACATACCTACAAAAAATCAAAACAAAACAGCTTGAGCAAAAAAGACTTGAAATTCTTAGAAAAGTTTACTTGTATTAAATACAATCCTGAATAAAACGTTATATAAGTGAATTTTTTACATTTTATAAATAATGTATATAAACAAACAACATATTTGTTTATATATATATATATATATATATATATATATATATATATATATATATATATATATATATATATATATATATATATATATATATATATATATTGTTTATTTTGATGGTTAAGCGCAACAAAGTTGAAAAAAAAAATCAGTTTATATTAAAATTAAAAAATTTTTTATAAATAATGTTTCTTTGCAAACACCTAACACTATACCTGAAATTTTTAAGTGCGCTGAACTGCAATTACTTTTATTTTTTTTGGTTTAGTGGCTTTTGTTAAGAGCTTTTTTGAAATTTTGCGTCAAATTATCCCATTTCAACCTTAAAAGCCTTAAAGTAAATAAAATCGATTTCGATTTTTTTACAAAATAAGCTAGTTTAGATGTCTGCAAATGTTATTAAATATATTTTTTCAAAGAGTTCTGAAAGTTCATAGAAATTATTGGTTTCAAAAAACCTTTAACAAAGAATTAATTTTTAATAATTTTTTTTAAATTGCGTTTCTCTCAAAATACATAATAAGCATATTAAGCCGTTTTGAAAAATGGCTGCAGCATATATTTATAGTAAAAAAATAAATATAGCATAAAAAACTTTTAATTGTTAAAAGAAAGTTTTTTTCTTTTTTTTTTTTTTTGCCTTCACAGCAGCATCTTCTGGAGTAGCAGGACTGTCTTATTAACTTTTTTCTTTAATAAGTTTCAGACAACTTTTTTTTCAGACCATTCTCAGCTTATTAGGACTATTTACCTGAGCATATTAATAACATCTCAATCATGACACATATGCGACAAATATTTTCTCCTGGTGTTATGATGTTTTTAGAAATTTTAGCTTTTTTAAAATCTTTTTGTTTGTTAAATTGTATAATATCGTTACATATGTTCGTATATAATCTCTATAAAACTTCTAAAGTATTTTGTATTTTAAAAATAATTGCAAAACATAAAAAAAATAGTCGCCAGTGGTAGGACTCGAACCACGGCTTACTCAGGCTTGGTCGGGAAGCGGGTGCGATCGCACTCGACAATTGACCTCGGAAATTATATTTACTTGCGAAAAGCCGGCCAGATTTTTCAGGCGTTTTGAGAACATTTCAGTTTATGTATGTTTCCTTGTTTTTCCGCAAAATAATAAGTTCATTTTATCGTAAATTTTAAAAGATTTTGTTTTAAGGACGTACATGGAAACTTATATGTTGAATGTTGTCAAACATCTTAGTGCGGAAAAATAAATAAATAATATTCGCGAACACAAAAAACCCGCCAAGTTTACGAACAACTAGTTCTATTGGTTCAATTAATAAATAACCGAAATTACTAAAGAATTCAGGCGACTGTTCTAGAGTATTCTGTTGAATTATTTTTCCAAATCTTTTTTTTTTGTTTTTGTTTTTGTTATGTTTTCGTTGAGAATTCTAGCATCAATTGTTTTAAGAATATACTATCAAACGAACAATTATTTTAATACAATGGCTCATTCTCGGAGTCACATCCATAAAGCTATAAATGTTTTAAACTAACATTTGTTTACAAAATAAAAATAAATGTTTTAAATTTATATTTTTTAACTTGTCAACGTTTTGTAAATATTTTATGAATTTAATTAGTATAATCTTATTTTTTATATATAAGGGATGTATTTATATGTATGTAATGTATTAGAAATTGGTTTATTAACTTCAATTATTTTTGCTTCAGCCATTCTTACAAACTCGTTATACTTACACTTAAAGTTTTTTTTCTTCTGTAAAATACTAGTTAAAAATATAAAGCCCACTCACTAAACATCATCAGCGATATTGTTAAGCAGTTTTGCTTCCTCCTTACAAAGTAATTTAACGTTTTTAGTTAATTTCTGTCTAGCTAATTAAATTTCCACAGTAACTCAATGATTTTGTTAATTCATTTGTCCATCTTACTAAGAAGAATTGTTTCAAATATGTTAAACTTTTCAAACTACGCGAACACATAAAACAGGTACTGAAAAAACTTATTTTATTTATAATTAAATTATGTAGCGTTAGTTTTACTGGTTTAATCTTATTGGACTTTACAGGGCCGGGGGCTGCATTATTTTGGTGGCCTTTTTTATGTGCGACAGCGTAAAAATGACTTAAAAATACCGATAGGTCCTCTTGACTATTTCTCGGCCCATAACATGTCCCGGGACTATAGCTCTTCTACCCCCCCCCCCCCTCTTATTTCCAGCACTGGAAATAAGACATAAGTATATAAATAAAAATAATATATATATAATCTTTGATAAATTGAAAAACATTTGTTTCTTTATTAAAACAATCATTATAAGTACGTTGTTACTATATACAAAAAATGTCTCTTTATTTTAAAAAAAAAATTATAAAAGAGCAACGTTTCAAAAATATTTGCTCTAATCGAATTTATTTTGCTTAAAGTTTTGCGTTAAAAGCTATTTTTCTTTTTTTTAACTGTCTCTCATCGGTCCAGTTTATCTTATTGCGCTTTTTTGCTTGTTTTTGAAATGCCTAAAAAATCTGGCCGGCTTTTCGCAACTAAATATAATTTCCGTGGTCAAATATCGAGTGCGATCGCACCCGCTTCCCGACCAAGCCTGCTTACTTGTTCAGAAGCTCAGTGCGCTATCCACTCGGCCACACTGGCACGTTGTCAAAGCAAAAATTTTTTAAATTATATGATAATTTTTTTAAACGGAAATAAATGTTATAGATCAAAATTAAGGAGAGATTGATATAATGCAATTTTCAAGGGAAAATCAAATTGTAAAACTTGATAAATGTTTCAGTATGTTTTAACATTATTTAATTAGAAGTTTATGTACATTAGATATTTTTATACACTTTCGCTCACATTTGCTTACAACAAATTATACCGTGACTCTTTCTCGCCATTACCTTGGTTGCAATGGCTGCCAAAGTTTCCGTGTCAAACATGCTCGAAGGGCACTACTACTACTAACATTAAGTTTGGCAATAATAAATAGAGATTACCGCAACACTAGTTAAATATTATTTAACTTCTTTTTTAATATTACTATAATGAAATTTTTATTTTCTTGTATTTTTTTAAATATTAATTAATTAAATTTAGTATTACATTTTTAAAAATGTTTGATATTAAAAAACTTCTTTCTTTTCTCTACAATTGCATAAATGAATGAAAATATGTTAAATTTTTGAATTTTTAAATGATTATTTCTTGAATTTCTAATTGCGGCTTTGCAACTACAAATGATTGTTTATTTTAAAAAAATTAGCAAGTAACAAATTAAAAAATTACGTTTTGTGCAAATTCTTGATAGAGACATTTAAAAAAAAAATGTTTAGGAAGGACAGAAAAAACAATTGCGATAAAAACAAGATAATTTTTTTTTTTAAGAATAAATAAAATTGAAATATTGAACAATATTTAGTAATATTTTAAAATAAATTTGACAGTTAAGTTAAACCCAAGCATTACTTTAATTTTAATAAATTTTTTAAATTAAAATTAAATTATATATTTTTTAAATCTAAAATAAATTATAAATTTTTTCATCAGAATAAAATTATAAATTTTTAAAGTATTGTAAAGTAAAGAAAAAATCAATCATTATAATAAAATAAAAACAAAATGAAAAATTTTTAATTTTATTTGAGTTTTTTAATTAGTAAATAGCACATATATCTAACATAATTGTCATTTAAATTTTTGTAACAAATATTTTTACATAATTGTTATTCAAAAGTTAGTGTGGTTTTTTTAAAAATTAATTACTTCTTGTATCTTACCACTTATAGAACAATTTAAAAGTTAAAATATGATAAGTCGCTTAACCAAAATTGCATACTGCTCACATAAAATTTGCTTAAGGTGTATGTAAATCACTCTAGGCATAACACTTTAAAAAAAGGCCTGAGGTTACTAGTTTTTAACTCAGCTGCTAATTGTTGTATATAAACTGTTAATAAAATTTCTATTATGTAATCATTTTTTCTAAATCTAAAGATTTTTTGTAAGCAGCCAATGATTAGCAGTTTTATTTTTAAGTATTTACATCAAATCAACATATAAATTGCTTTATAAAAGTTATATGTGCTATTAAATAGAGCATTTATTGTGCAAAGATTTATATAGCTATTAAAAAACCATCTTTACGAGCAATCTTTATATCTTCTCATGCAATTTCTAAGCAAATCAGTGTTTCTGTGATAAATTAATAACTATTTTCTTGTAAAATATTTTCACAGTAAAGTTCTTCATGGAGTCAAAAACTAGGAGGAATTTACAGGTAAAGTCTTATAAGGTTGTAGCAAATAAAAAATTAGGACAAAGAAAATTATAAATTATTTTTTTTTTAATTTTAATTTTTATGTATATACCTCTTCAATACAGCAGGGGCCACTACAGTTAAGGAGACTACTTGCTTTTTTTTTTAAATTCTTGTTACAACATTCTCCCTCAACTCTTTAACTCTGAAACACAAGCCTTTACTACACGTTAAAACTTAAAAAATGTTGAGTGCAATATTGCCAGGTGGTGAGGATTGAATTTAAAACTTCTTGTTAAAAGCAAACAATAATTAATAAAAATATTGTTAGTACTGTATATAAGATGTTGGTACTGTATAAAAAAACGAATGTTATGTAGTATGTATGTATTAGTTATATTGTTGCTATTGTATATAATATGTAATATTATGTATGTAATGTGTATGTAAAAGTTGGTACTAAATGTATTTTTACTTTTAATAGATAACTGGTGATCCTGTATCCATATTTGTTTGTGATGCTAAGTCTGCTTCTCCTGAGGAGGTTGTATTTAAAGAAAAACTTTTTTTTATAAATATTCAATAGGTTATTATTACTATTATTAATAGCAGTAAGTTACTGGTTCTGATAGGTCTACATGACACACCTTATGATATGTCCTGATAGGTCTACATGCTTTATTTGTTTTTCTGGAAATCCTGTTTGTATAAATTAAATTAATTTTGATACATCTGGTGCTAGATTATTTTACCTAGAAATAGAAATGTTTTTCAAATTATACATTCATGTTTGTCCCTGATCCTACCATTGTTAGCTCAAATCCTACAAACTCAATATTGTTGAAGGCAAACCTAAATTTTTTGGGGTTAAAAACTGTTGCGAGAATATAGTTTAATGTATGCCATAGTATGCTAAGAAAAAGATTCAGTATTATCCTGATATTTTTCAACATCTCAATTTAAAGAATCATCAATTAATCTGCCAACTCTTGGAAAATTTTGGGTTATATCGCTAAATTATTTTGTATACCTATTGTTTGATTCATGAAATTCTCATGGTGCTCTTAAGTATTGATAGCATTCCCATTCAGTAATAAAGTTTTTTTTGTGATGAGAAAGCTACATCTGATGTGATTACCTTTTAGAATTTAATTGACAATGTTGGTAAATTAAAGTGGTATGTTTCCCTTAATGTTGTTTTATTTAAACATCTTTTTTGGGGTTGATTACCATTCTAGAACACCATTCAGCTGGGGTTCTTTCTAGAACTGGCTAATACTGAGTACTATGTCATCATCAAATTTTTTTACCTTTGCAAACTATGTGGTATTGATATGGATTTCTGTATTTCGATTGTTTTGTACCTGTCTTTGAATGTAATATTTAATGACTTAACTGTGATTGGTTGTAGTTGTTGATAAGTGCAGGTGGTCGTGATTTAATTAAAAATTAATCTGGTAATTACTTTTTTTTTTTTAGTATGTTTAAGCCAGTATTGCATATTTGGGTATGGGTATCAGATATGGCTGATTAGTTGATAGTTTTAATCTTTTATGAGCTGTTAAGTTAATTTTGAGTTTTACTAACAAGGTTGGTAATGGCTCAGGGTTATTAAAGGTAAAGGTTTATCCCATATTCTAGGAGCAGTTTTTATCCCATGTACCAATTTGATCTGTTAGTATTATTTGGTCAGCAGCTACAGATAGTATAAAAAATATTTCTTCGTAATTGTCTTAATTTGTGTAAGACATCTTAGTGATTTCACATACATAATAGAAATGATTTTATATACTTTTGTTCTATTTGGTTTGGTAAGATTTGTAAATTCTTTTATCTTATCCGTGCATCCAGGAAAATTATTCATTTATTGTCTGAGATACTCTATTATATTCTTCTATTAGCTTCTAATCGATTTATTTTTTAATGGTTGCAATCAAACATTGTTTGTTAGAAATACTTTTGTTAAGGAATATTATTTTGAAATTGTAGTATAGTTAATGCTCTCATTATTTAAGACATTTATTGTTGCATATGTGTTTGTTGTTGTTGCATATTTAACATCATCTGTATTGCTTTTTCTTTTTCTTTTCATCTGTATTTTTTTTTGAGGTTTGTTGATTCAACTGTTGTTTCTGGTTTAGAAGTTGTCATGTCAAATACAATTATCAATTCTATTACTATCTCCTAATTTCTTTGATAAAACAACTGTCAACAAAATATATTGAGAATAAATTTGTGACTATATTGCGAATAAATATTGAGTATAAATTTGTGACTAATATGGTTTTATATTGATATAATCCTATTGCCATGTTTAATAACCTTACAATAAAACAAAATAAATTTTTTCTTTAATCTATTATATTATATATAGACAATAACTATTTGACAACAGGACATATAAAATAATCAAAAAATTGTTTCAGGTATTTTAAACATTTAAATTTAAACTACTAAAATTAAAATTACTAAAATGTAGTTACTTTTAAAATACTTTAAACAATTTTATATATATGGATCAATAAACAACAGTTTTTAAAAAATGCCATGTTATAGCTCTAAATGTATTCTATATAATAAAATAACACTAAATTTAATTTTTTTTTTTAAATAGTTTTTAGAAGTCCCCCAAGATCTTTAAACATTTACAGGGTACCTAATATTATAAAAAAAAAAGTTCTTTAGAAGTAGGTCAACTCAAAAGAAGTGAAATTATATAATAATATAATTCTGTATATATAAATATGTAATTTAATTAAATCTGCTGCATTAAAGATGTTAGAAGAATCTAAAAAAGAGACTCTTTCAAACAATATGTTTAGTCTTAAACATGTGAAGAATTGTAACAGCAGTGATTTTTCTAACTGTTTATAAAGTTGCAAAAGGAAATCAGTCCTTTAATAACTTTAAAATTAAAATTTATCTACGAGAAAATAATAGAGTGAAAAGCATTGTATCCTTCATACTTTTTTTTTTTCAAATTAAACCTCACTTCTAACAAGGCTGCAAGCAAACACTATTGGAGTTGGAAGTTATTGGAAGTTACTGGAAGAGAAAAGATAAAGTTAAAGAGAAAAGATAAAGATAAAGCTACATAAAGATTAACAGATGACTTGAAAGATTGCAAATTATATGAATCAGGAAAACAAGATGAAAGGAAAGAATTCTAAAGAACTGATATTCAAAGAAAAAACTGAGACAAATAAGAATATTTGGAGCACTTAGGAACAGTCACAGTAAAAGGATGAGACTTTATTGAATGACAAGTAACACAAGAATGAATTTTAGTAAATGGTCCATTATAGTATTTATAGTAAAAAAAAAGTATATATAGTAAAAAAAAAAAAGAGCTACAACATTATATATTATAGTATATTATATATTATATTACATTATTATTATAGTATATATAGTAAAAAAAAAAAAGAGCAGCAGCATTATGACAATGTGTCAATGTGTCAATGGTTGAAGGTTAGCTGCAAGTGCATGTCCAACTTTGTTTACAATACCTTTTTGCACCTTGTCTAAAAGAGAAAAGCATCATTGAAGATCGGCTTTGGATATGGCAATAATATTCCATACAAGGACAGATTTGAGATTTATAAAGATAAAGAATAGAATCCGGAGTAAGAAAGTGGCAAGCACAATGAAGAGTTACAACCTTAACAGATGCTAATTTTGCGATAAACTCAATATATGGTTACCAAGAAAGATCAGAAGTAACAGTTAATCCTAGAAGATGAAGGGCAGATGACTTGTTGAGTACATTACCATTCATAAATATAGGAAGATCTAGATTGTTGCAATAATGGTTAGCCCAAAAAAATTTAGTTTTATCTGAGTTAAAGTTCACCAGCAACTGAGAGCCTCATGCTGTAGCAAAAGTGAGATCCTTTTCAAGCTCAAATGCTCCCTCCAAGCAATCAGAGAGTGTTGCTTCTTATCAAGACATGAATAAAAAATATGGTAGTATCATTAGCCAACAATGCCTCCTTAGATGTGAGAACTTCAGGGAGATTTATAATGTAAATTAAAAAAGGTTTAGGGCCAAGGATAGAACCTTGAGGAACCCCTGAAGCTACAGAAAATGAAGAAAAGCGTTGTCTATTAAGAAAAACTTTCATTCTGTGATTGGTGAGAAAGGATTCAATAATCTCAAAGATGTTACTGCCAAACTTTATCAAAGACTTTAGAAACGTCAAGAGTGATAGCCTTAGCTTCTCAATATCTATCTAATGCATGATAACCTATCATTTAGTGCCAATAACAAATCAGCATTACAACAAGAAAATCGAAATCCATATTGACTTTCAGAAAGTAAGTTATTAGATTTAAAATAAGAGATTAAGTGTTTGTTAATGAAAGACTTTGCTTTGCTTATGATAGGAAGAAGACTAATAGATGGTAGGTGTCAGGTTCACACTCTCAAATTTTTATTTCTCCAGCAGACTTGAAAACAAGACTCTGATAACACTTGTTGAATAGTTTTGAAAGAATAGATGACAGATCCTGAGAACACTTCTGCAAGACTATAACAGGTATGTTGTCTCGACTACAAGCTGTAGAAAAGTCCAAGCATAATTTTTTTAGATACAGATGCAATTATTTTAGATACAGACGCTGGAGTGATAAAAATGTCAAACAATAGATCTACCTGTTTTTCGATTATATCAGGTAGGATGTGATTAGTGGAATCAAGAGACGAGATTGATGAAAAGATCTTAGCAAATAATTCAGGTTTTTCTTTAGGTGAGGTAAAAAAATCTGAACCATGCAAGAAAGGTGGAATAACAGATTTGCCCTTATTATAGACACTGTTGAAGATTCTCCTGTGGAGCCTAATTTTTGATATAAAATGTACAAGATTTTGTGACCTGAAAATACCGGGCATTGGCATTAGACAAATCCTTTTTTACAATGGTTTCTAGCTTTAGTAAACAGACATCTGTTTTCTAAGCAGTAGATATGGAAGTAATGGTTGCAATTGGAAATTGCAGCACAATGAGAAGAAAAACACGGGGAAGAGTGAAGTTTGACTTTGAATTGTCAAGAGGAAATAAAAGTAGAGTCCTAGTCAGCTTTAAGGTAGTGGTAAGAGGTACGATGATAGGGGGATTCTGATGATGAAGGAGAATGAGATAATAGTTTTAGAGAGATTTAACTGTGATCAGAAGCACCTAATGGTGAATGTTAAGAAACTGAAAACTGACTAGGATCAGAAGTAAGACACAAGTCGAGTAGAGAAGGTAAGTGATTTGGATTGTCTGGAAAGCAAGTTGGAAAGTTTACTATTTGCGTTAGAAGTTGAGAAAAAGTTGAAACAAAAGTTGTGGATCTTTTTGCTTGCAGAGTCACTGGCATTATAGCCAAGTTATTCAGTGTGATGGGCATTTAAGTTACTAACAACAATGATATTGGCTGAAGGATAAAGAGGAAAGGCATGGTCAATTTAATCAAAAATAACATCGAAAAGAGTCTTTAGATAAAGGAGAGCGATATAGAACAAAGAGATAGAGTGAAGTGGTGCTAAACGAAAACACGTACAAGAGTAGTCTGTGGATTCAAACCTAGTTTCTTAACAAATGAGTGAATTCTTACAAATGTAAATGCCCAGACAAAGCTTGTGACTATCGGGTCTTTACGAATTAAAGGAATATAAGCATTAACATTATAATCACAAGATAAAACAGCTGAACTTTAATTAGTCTCACAAATAGCAAGTAGGTCTGGTGAACTTTGTAAAAAAAAGATAAGACTCAAGAGAAGAAAAGTTACTTCGAAGACTGCGAGTGTTAGTGAATTATAGATTTAGAGAATTAAGTGATGACAATGGTTTTTTGTGTTTATAGTTTTTGACATTTAAGTCATTTTTTAAATTGGTTAAAGAGCTTCAATCAAAGCACAGATAGTATTATCTAACAGTCCAAGCAATTGCCTAATTACTACTAATAAACCCTAAGTCAAAACAAAAGGCTCTAAATGTGGCCTCAACAATGCACACAAAAGGTACAAACATGGACACCATCCATGTGCAACATGGCACTGTTAGTTTACATGGCTCTGATATTTTACTGCTGTTGATGGAATCTGCCTCTCTGAGATCTACAACAGAGTTTTAGAAACTTGACTACCAGCCAACCTCAGGAACATAAAACTGAGTTTTAGAACTGTACCCTTATTAGGAGATAATAGAATGAGTTGCCTAATCATAAAAATACTATTATTATTATTATTATTATTATTTTTGTTGTTGCTATTATTATTAATATTATTATTATTTTACAACCTGAATTGCTATATAAATTATATTCATTAATAATATATATATATATATATATATATATATATATATATATATATATATATATATATATATATATATATATATATATATATATATATATATAGAGAGAGAGGGAGAGAGAGAAAGAGAGTGAGAGAGACATGGCCAGGAAGGCCAGCAATTTTAAGTCTTTATATGACCATGCAAATAATATTTTGTTTTGACGATTTAACCACGGTTTTTAACAAATGCGCTGAAAAATTGGTTTATTAATAATTACAAATAATTACATTAAAAATATATAATTTCGACACGTTTATCTTTACTAATATTTTTAACGCTTTTAAATAAAGTAGCTAATGGTTTTAATTAAAGTATTATCGAAAGTTGTATAAAGTTTTACTTATATTATTTAATTATATAAAAATATTTTTATAAGTTAAATAAAAAAAGTAAAAATTATAAAAAATTTTTTTTATAAGTGACATCTTTAAACAGCGATGATCTCTTTAATAAACTTTATATAAGAATCATTGAAGTTAATTCACTCAAAAAGTAGAATGATTTTGTTGAGTAGAAAAGAAAAAAGCAAACTTTTTTGAAAGCTGTTTGAATTAAATAACTTTGATCTTTATTTATGTTTTTATATTATTGAAACACATCTAAATAAAGTAAGAAATCATTGCTAATAATTTTTTATTAAAATATTTATGAATAATATATTTTTTTATATTTATACAAGTATGTATTTTTTTATTATAAATGTCTTTGAATAAAAAGAATTATATCAATATTTAAAATAAACGATTTAATTATTTTTTCTTTTGTTTATGTTACTGTAAAGAATTGTTAAGAATCTTTTTTTAACTTTTAAATGTGCGTATTTATTTAACAATCGTTAGATGTAAGTTGTTACTTTATTTAGAAAGGGTTTTGCATAGTATTATATTATAAAAACAGTAAAGATGAATGACTCAAAGTTATTTATTCTAAACAATCTTATCATTATAGTTTATTATTTATTTTAGTTAAGTTTTAGCTTTTTTGATTTAATTATTTTAGTATATTTAAAAAAAAAATTTATTTACGATATTTTATATATATATATATATATATATATATATATATATATATATATGTATATATATATATATATATATATATATATATATATATATATATATATATATATATATATATATATATATATATATATGTATGTATGTATAAAATATCGTAATGGTACAAAGTTAAAAAAGTTAAAGCAATTTTTTACAATCAAATAAAATAAATTATGAAAATTACATGGGAACCCATTTAAATTACACAAGGGTTGAACCATGTAAGATAAACATTTTTTTTTTATTAACCTTTTTAAGACCGGGGACATTTTAAGGAGGGTTCTTTTTTTTTTGTCTTTATTTATTTTCCCTAACTATTGTTAAACTCTTCTTAATAGTTTGATAAGAATTTCAAAATAAAGTAATAAAGAAATAAATAATATACATATATATATATATGTGTATATATATATATATATATATATATATATATATATATATATATATATATATATATATATATATATATATATATATATATATATTAATCATTTAAATACAACATCTATAACATTAAAAACGATTATGCTTGTTAAATTTTACACAAAAAAAAGAAAAGGAGGGGTTTTAATACAATTCTTTATATGCTATAAAGATAAAGAAAAAATTGAATCACAAGATCATTGTAAAAAAAATTACAACATAGTTATTTTAAAAAGACCAGATCATCACACTGTTACTGAAACGTATAAAAATGATCTTTGTGAAAATTTCTTCACAAATCCAGTGTTAAAGTTATGGAACAAACTGCCTACTTCAGTAGTTAAATCGCAGTCCATTAATGATTTTAAATTGAATATAGACAAGCTATGCTTTGCAAGCTAATTATGGTGTTAGTTAAGTTGTTTTGTAAATATATGTATATATATATATATATCTTGTATACATATATGTATATATATATATATATATATATATATATATATATATATATATATATATATATATATATATATATATATATATACAGCAGTTAGGCTGGCATTCGGCAATGCCAGCCTAACTGCTGACTTTAAAGTATTAGAGGTCGACAAAAAATTGCTGACCTCGTTTCTATGTTTTATGGTAAGACCTTTGTATCAAATTTTTTTTGCTGACCTCTAAAAGATTAGGTCTTAGTTCCGAGGGTTGTTATATATATATATATATATATATATATATATATATATATATATATATATATATATATATATATATATATATATATATATATAATATATATATATATGTATATATATATATATATATTTATATGTATATATATATATATAATAAAGAGTTATATATAAATAAGAAAATATTAACTTAAGAAAAATATTATTTAGAAAGAATATTTTTCTATAAATTTTTAATTAGATTTTCTTAAATAGTAGGATGTTTAATATAATTGGTAATTTATAATGTTAATGTTAAAGTTATAAGATGCAGAAAAAGATTATTGTGAAAACTTAATCAGCTGTGTCCAACAATTGTTAAGTTGGTACATATGGATATGATAAAGTAGACTATAAAGTCATTAAAATTTTAATTTGTCAAGGTATTAAAAAAGAAAATGTTTAGCTCGAATTATTGCAATAGTCTTCTGACTACTTCGGATTATTGATAAATCTTATGAAGTTTAAAACAAAATGGCAAAAAATCTCTCTATTTAGATCTTGTTAAATTAATGTCAGATTAGTTCTGACGACAATGGAAAAAGCAAGTGGAAATTAATTAACCCTAGCGAAAAATTAAAGTAATCAGTAATGGTCATAAAAATTTTATTTTCAGAAATTCTAAAATATAAATGTAAATAATAAAATAATTTAATAGATAGTTTACAATTTATTTAAAGTATAAAATTTTGTTTTGTTTTACAATTTCAGTTTTATCTTGCAAAAACAGCTTACAAACGTTTAAAGACTTTACGACATCCAAATATTATAAAGTTTTTAGATGGATTTGAGGTAGATAAAAAATTTATGTAAAAAAATATTTATGTATTCCTTTGTATTTTGTTATTTTATAGAAGTTTTTATAAAATTTTTTTGCTTTTAGTCTGAAACAATGTTGTACATGGTTACTGAACCTGTTACACCTTTGATTCTTTTTCTTGACAAAGATGATGGAAGAAATTCAAATCTTATAACATGGGGAATTCATCAAATTACTGTATTTTTTAAAAGTTTATAATATATTATTTTTAACTGGTTATTAAATTTAATTGATTGGTTTTAATAAATATATATACAAGCCTTCCCAATTTCTTTTCTACTTTATGGCATGTAGTAAACGGCTTGCTACTAAAAAAAAAATGGATGTTGGTATTTTTTATAAATAATATATAGGAGAATTTCTTAAATAGGCTTTATATATATATATATATATATATATATATATATATATATATATATATATATATATATATATATATATATATATATATATATATATATATATATATATATATATATATATATATATATATATATATATATATATATTTGTGTTATATATATATATCTTTATTATTCTGTGACTAAAAAGTTTTTTGTCACAGAATAATAAGGAGAAAACTCAAGTTGAAAACTCAAGAGTGAGGCTATAAAGAAATCTTATGTGAGAAGTATAATGATGAAGGAGTGTTTTTTAAAAATTAAAATAAAATATAAAGTTTAGAAGATTTAATATTAAAAAGATTTAAGAATAGATTTTAAGGTTTTACAGATAAATCTAAAATTAAGCTTTGACTACTACTTGGTCTCCAAAGAGTCCAAGTTTACTACTTGGTCTCCTCAGAGATCAAGTAGTAGTTCAAGTTCTCCAAGTAAAAACTGAGACTGCTCAGTTAATCAAGTCAGAGACAAGATGCAAATCTAAAAGAAATGATTGGGATTGTCTGGAAGAGCAATCGAGAAAGGCAAAAGGTTTCAGCTTTAGTACTAGCATTGTCAGTGATACCATTCAAATGTCAAAAGTCAAACCATTCATGGCAATGAGCAATACAGGGTCACTGTAAGTTAGTAAAGTCACTAAGGTTGATTGAATAAACACTGTAAGTGTAAAGTTACTAAAAACAACAATATTAGGTAAAAAGTAACAGTTTCATTTAATTAAGAAAAACATTTAAATAAGAAAGCAAGTCTTGGGAAGAAGGAGAACAATAAAGAACAAAGAGAAAAAGAATAAGTGTTGCTAAATGAAAACACATAAATGAAAGTTCAAATCTCACAAAAAAGGTTTTTAGTGAATTTTGCAAGAAGTAAGGTTCTGCAGATCAAAAATTACTCTGAAAACCACAAATAAATGTAAAATAAGCAGTTTAATGGTGATGCCATCCTTGCACTTAACTGTGTTGATAATGTTCTGATATTTTACAGTTGGTAATGGAATTAGCCTCTCTGAGAATAATCAGAAAGATCAGGAAACCTTATTATCTTTTTTTTTTGGGGTTGGACTTGCATAACATATCAAACATAAAATAATTCTTGATATTGATAGTTTTTATAATTGACTAATTAAATTCTAAAAACTATAAACTATATATTTTCAAATAAATCAAATAAAAGTTAACAGTAAATATGTTATTAAATATTTTGATTTTTTTTTATTTATTTACACTAGTTTTAATTATTATTTTAGACTGGTTTGAGTTTTCTTGTGAATGACTGTAATTTAGTTCATGAAAATGTAAACATTTTCTCAGTTTTTGTTGGAAATGATGGTGAATGGAAACTTTCGGGCATGGAATACATGCATGCTTCAAATACAGATCCAGTTGCTAAGTTACCTAAATTGCAATGTTATAATACCCCTGAAGGTTTGAAAGATGTTGTTAAGGGATCTTGGTAAAATTAACATATTTTTTTTTACAAAAATTTTTTTTTAGGTAAATATATTAAAATTAATATTTAAATGAATTGATAAATTTACAGGTCTACAGATTCTTGGGGATTGGGTTGTTTAATTTGGGAGATTTACAATGGAGCACTTCAATCACCAGCTGACCTTAAAATAATAAACAAAGTAATTTTATTTATTTTTTAATTAAAGTTTTTAGGTAATTGTTAGTATTTTCAGTAAAAATTTAAAGTTTCTAATTTAGCAATTGGTTTTATATATTGTTTTTTATGAGAGCTTGGTAGTATAAAATAATCAGAGATGTTGCGAAGTAGAATAGTGACTATGTTACCATTCATAGATGATAATTGGTCAAAGTTTCAGGTTGAGCTAGGTAAGCACAGAGAAGAATTTATATTCAATATTGACTGCTTGTTCTGCAGTTAAATGTTGTTGACTTTTTTATCTGTACTTTTTTTTTTTTTTTTTAACATCTTTGCTTCCAAAAAGGCCTCAAGCAACCACTAATTAGTGTTGGAAGTTAATGGAAGAGAAAAGATGAACATTGTAGAGCAAGATAACGATTGACAGACGATTTAAAAGGTTGCAAATTATATATGAATCAGGAAAGCAAGATGAAAGAAGCGAATTCCAAAGAACTGATGTTCGAGGAAAAAAACTAGACAAGTAAGAGTTTTTGGAGCACTTAGGAACTGTAATAGAAAAAGGATGAGACTTAATTGAATGACGAGTAACACGAGAATGAATTTTAGTAAAAAGCACAAGAGACGCTTGCTCTTTAGAGCAGTGCCCATTATAGTATTTGTAGAAAAGTGAAAGAGAAGCAACATTACGATGATGTAACAGAGGTTGATGGTTGGCTGCAAGAGCAGGTCCAACTATGTTTACAATGCGTTTTTGCACCTTGTCTAAAAGAAAAAGGGCATCATTAGAACATCCGCCCCAAATATGGCAACAGTATTCCATACAAGACCGGATTTGAGATTTGTAGAAATAGAGAATAGAATCCAGAGTAAGAAAGTGTCGAGCTCGATAAAGAGAAGCAACTTTAGCAGATGCTAATTTTGCAACGGATTTGATATAAGGTTTCCAAAAAAGATCAGAAGTAAGAGTTAATCCTAGAAGATGAAGGCTAGGAGACTCATTGAGTACATTACCGTTTATAAATATAGGAAGGTCTAAATTATTGCGATAACGATTGGCTGAAAAAAATTGAGTTTTATCTGAATTAAAGTTCACCAGCCACTGTGAGCCCCATGCTGTAGCAGAAGTGAGATTCTTTTCAAGCTCAGATGCCCCCTGCAAGCAATCAGCGGGAGTTGGCTACTTATCGTGACAAGAATAAATGGTAGTATCATCAGCAAACAATGCCACCTTAGATGTGAGAATATCTGGAAGATCGTTAATGTAAATTAAAAAGAGTATAGGGCCAAGGATTGAACCTCGAGGAACCTCTGAGGTTACAGAATAAGAAAAAGAGTGCTGTCCATCAAGGGCAACTTTTATACTATGATTGAAAAGGAAGGATTCAATAATCTTAAAGATGTTTCCAGAACACTGTAAAAAGAAAGCTTATGGAGAAGACCAGCATGCCAAACTTTATCAAACGCTTTAGAAATGTCAAGAGCAATGGCCTTAACCTCTCCACCTTTATCTAATGCGTGATAAAGCCTATCGGTTATTACTGATAGCAAATCAGCCGTAGAACGAGAAGATCGAAATCCATATTGATGATCAGAAAGTAGGTTATGAGATTCGAGATGAGAGATTAAGTGTTTGTTAATTAAAGATTCAAAAACCTTGCTTATGATAGGAAGAAGACTAATGGGACGGTAGTTAGACAAATCGGATCGCTTTCCAGAATTTTTAAAAATAGGGATAACAGATGCTGCTTTCCAGCAGGCTGGAAAACAAGACTCTGATAAGCACTTGTTAAATAGTTTTGAAAGGATAGACGACAGCTCCGGAGAACACTTCTGCAAGATTATAACAGGTATGTTGTCGGGGCCGCAAGCTGTAAAAGAGTCTAAGCAGGAAATCACTTTAGGTACAGAAGCTGAAGTGATACGGATGTCGAGCAATGGAGCAACCTGTTTGACAGCTATATTACGTAGAACACAACTAGTGGAATCCAGAGATGATATTGATGAAAAGTTCTTGGCAAACAATTCAGCTTTGTCTTTAGGTGAGGTGATAAAGTCGGAACCATACAAAAGAGGTGGAATTACAGACTTGCCCTTATTATTGATACTATTAAAGATTCTCCAGAAGTTGCGAGAGCCTAACTTTTGTGATAAAATACGAGATTTCATGATCTGAGAGAAGTGGGCTTTGGCGTTAGACAATTTGTCAACAGGAAGACGAAAGATTTCTACCCAGGGGCCATCATAAAAAAAATCACGGAAAGAGTCCCAATCAGCTTTAAGGTAGTTGTAAGATGTACAATGATAGGGGGATTCTGATGGTAAAAAAGAATGAGATAATAGTTTTAGAGAGACCAAAATATGATCAGAAGCACCTAAGGGTGAGTGTGGAGAAACTGAGCACTGACTAGGATTAAAAACAAGAAATAAGTTGAGTAGAGAAGGTAAATGATTTGGGTTGTCTGGTAAGCGAGTTGGAAATATGACTATTTGAGTTAGGGATTGAGAAAGGCAAAAGTTGTGGGCCTTAATGCCTGCAGATTCACTGACACTAGAGCCAAGCCATTCAGTGTGATGAACATTAAAGTCACCGACAACAACAATATTGGCTGATGAATAAAGAATGAGGGCTTGGTCAATATAATCAGAAATAACATCAAGAAGAGTGCAGTCTTGAGATGAAGGAGAGCGATATAGAACAAAGAGAAAGGTGATAGAGTGAAGTGGTGCTAAACGAAAGCACATAAAATAGTAGTCTGTGGATTCAAACCTAGTTTCCCGACAAATGGGTGAATTCTTACGAATGTAAATGCCCAGGCCAAGCATGTGACTATTGGAGTCTTTACGAATTAAAGGAAGATAACCATCAACACTAAGATCACAAGATGAGACAGTTGAACTCAAATTAGTCTCACAAAGAGCAAGTAGGTCTGGTGAACTTTGCAAGAGATAAGACTCAACAGAAGAAAAGTTACTTCGAAGACCACGAATCTTGGTGAATGATAGCTTTAGCGAACTTGGTGATGACTGTGGTTTTTTGTGTTTTATAGTTTTTGTTACTTTTTTCATTTTTAAATTTGTTAAAGAACTTTACTCGAAACATAGATAGTACTCAGTACACTGTTTTATAGCCCAAGCAATTGCCTCATTTCCACTGATAAACCCTAAGCCGTAACAAAGGGCTCCAATGTGGCTTTGGCAATCCATACCAAAAGTACAAACAGGGACACCATCCATGCGCAACATGGCACTGTTAGTACTCTGATATTTTTCAGCTGTTGATTGAATCAGCCTCTCTGAGAGCTACCACAGAGTTTGAGAAACCTGACTACCAGCCAGCCTCAGAACCATAAAACTGAGTTTTAGAGCTGTACCCTCATTTGGAGATAATAGAATGAGTTGCCTAGTCATAAAAACAGAGACACAAGCAAAACTCATGCATTGAGTCAAGAAGATCCAGCGTTCAACATCCTATACTGGAAACAATGTATTAAAAATACATCTGCGCCAGCCTAATAGATAGAGAAGGGGTGCGAGGCTGGTCAACAGATAGAATCTGTTTACCCCTTAAGTCTTTGCCTAGGAGGCCTTCTACAAGATGGCAGCCGGATGCATTAAACATCTGCCCAAGATGAGTATTTTTATCGAGACACCATCTCCAGCCTTTACTCAACCAAGAGCCCCAAGGCAGGGGGTGTTTTATGTCGGAGTTTGCATTTCCTAGCCTTTGCCTAAAAAGGCATATCCTACAAGGCAGCAGGACATGAAGCAGATTGTACTGGGTTACATGTTACCAGTAGCAGGATAAAACTGACCTGACCTGTATTGACCTGACTTGAGTATATTGCTGCATTGTCAGCAAATAAAACCACTTTCAAATGTTGTCAGCAAAAAAAACCACTTCTAAGGTTGTCAAGAAGATCATTTATGAAGATTATAAAGATTATGGATATTTAGTATTCCAGAGTTTACTGGAAATAAGAATATGCTAATTTAAGGATAACTTTATTTCTACGATTAGGAATTTTATATATTTAAAAACACGCCCTGCTACACTATATGACGAAGGCTTTGGACAAAACCAACCAAGCTTTGATGTTTTTGATTCAAATTAACATTTATTAAATGGTTTTGAAATAAAAAGATATTTCTCACAACATCCAAACACTTTTGCAAGTTTTTGAATGTTGTTAGAACCACCTTAATGTTTTTATCACGAAAAAGCTTTTAGCATACACTGTCTTTTAATATTTATATCCATTATTGAAATTAAAAAACTCCACTTAAAAATTGTATTCGTATAAATTTTTAAATAAATTAATTAAACTTAAATAGTAGTTTTATTTTAAATACTTCTGAGTTTTTTTAAATTTTTCTTATTACTTATCACTTCTTATTTATTATAATTACTAGATAATATAGTTACTATTATTTTTTTTTATTATTTATGTTTTTAACAACCACGGTTTTCTTGAAAAATTATTTTAAAAAATTGAATACTTCAAAATATCAAAACATGTGCAAATCATGACTTGGGTAGTTGCTTCATTAAATTGTGATGTTGTTATCAGTTGACTAAAATGATTTGTTCTATTTTATTGTTTTATAGTTACCAAAGCAACTAGTTATTCATTATTGTGACTTGGTCTGTGCAAATCCTAAAAGTAGAAGCAATCCAAAAAAATTTCTTGAAAACTGCACAAAAGCTGGGCAGTTTTTAGACAATGATTTTATAAAAGCAAATCTATTTTTACAAGAGGTTCAGGTATAAAACATTATTGACAATTTAATAGTTAAGTTCTTAATAATGACAGAGTTTATCTTTTCTTCTTATTATGAAAATTTTGATAGTTGTTTGTTATAACTTTTAGAGGTGGGGTAGGGTCGGGGCAAAAAGGTGTTTATTAATGTCATTTAAAAAAATAAAAATTTAAGTTTGGTTTTTATAATTTTTTTTAACATTTTTAAAGTTTTTTAATTAAATATTTTTTATCCATGCTTTTCTAATTCAAAAAATAAAAAAATATTTTAGATAAAAGATATTTCAGAACAAAAAGAGTTTTACTCATCCTTAGATAAAAACCTGGATTCATTCCCAAAGCAGTTTTGTATAGACAAAATTCTTCCACAACTCCTAAATGCATTTGAGTTTTCAGATTCTGGATCTGCAATTCTCTCACCACTTTTCAAGGTATGAAATTACTTGATGTGCTTATAATAAATAATTATTTTTAATATATTTAATTGATACTCATTTTTTGGTTGTCGTTATTTAATTATAAATCTTAATGTAAAATATATAATATAAAATATCATCTATATGTTTAACAAAAAGGTTGGACTTCTCCTCGATGAGCCATCATATCAAGCAAAAATACTTCCTTGTATTATAAAGCTATTTTCATCAAATGATAGAGCAACAAGAGTTCAATTGCTACAGCAGGTCAGCGATGTTGTTTCATGAAACACTATTTAAAACGGTAATAATATTTAAAACTAATGATCATTAGTTTAAAAATTGTTTCTTTTACTATAAAGACACTCAAAACACTCAAAAAAAAAAAAAGTTTGTTTAATTTTTAGATGTTAAAAAAACACCACAGCTATCTTAAGAATTGCAGATCTATTCAATAAGCTAAAACTATAAATACTGCAGGTATTTTCTGTCAGAACCAGAAAAAGTTTTCATTATTTTTAATTAATGACCCAATTCATCCAAATTCATTTATGATTTATCATTAATGATCCAAATAAATTTAAATTTAAACTTAAAAAAGATGTCACGATTAATAGGAAAGCTTCAAAACATCTTAAAAAATTAAAAGTAAAGATTTTTTTGCTGAGTCAATATACAAAAAATAAATTATCCTCTTGCTTGAATATAAGTTATCCTCCTGCTTAAATATAAGTTATCCTCCTGCTTACATGTAGAACTATCTAAAAATATTGAAATTATGGTCTATTAATAACAATTTGTTTTTATCTTCTATTGGCACTTGAAAGATTTTATTTTAGCTAGAATTATTAGAATTTTATTATACTCATTAATTCCATTTTTGTACTAAAAATTCAATTACTTTAGTTAACAAATTAAACTATGCAAACCTTTGTACCTTTTGGAATCTTCCAGATTCCAATTTTAAAATCAACAAAATTAATTTAAAAATCATCTTTCATCTTTTCGATAGATTTACAACCAAATTGTTGACGATGTTATGGCTTTTGATTAGCAAATGTACTTGCCTTATATATATATATATATATATATATATATATATATATATAATATATATATATATATATATATATATATATATATATATATATATATATATATACATATATATGAAATATTTACTGTATTAGGAATCCTATAGTTTTTAACTATTTAAAAGTTAAAAAACATTTAAGACTATTATCTCATTTTTAATGTTGAGGCAGGTAATATTTTTGATGAAAAAAGAGCTTGCTTGTTGCCCAAAACTGGAAAGCAACACTTTTTGCACTACATTATTCCTAAACTTTTAGAAATCTTTATATAAGTGATTACTGCAAATAAAATTAAGCAAAGCTACAGATATGCAGTCTAAAATAATTTTATTTTATCGCTTGTTGCGCTTTCGTTTGGAGGGCTCAAAGTGGTGACTAATATAAACATAAAAAATATTTATTGGCTTTAGTTCATACATCGACTATCTTATAACCTAATTCTACATGGAAGTGTTGCTACATTGACTATCTTATAGCCGGCTTCTACAAGGAAGTGCTGCTACATTGATTGAGGGTTTGGCATAGGGCAGCAATCTTTTTTCTTTTATTATTACAAATAAAATTTCTAATGTATAAAAACTCTCCATTAATGAGAGCGAAAAAATAAAGTTATTTTAGAGCGCTAAACTGTAGCTTTATCTAAAATTACATTGTATTAGTAAAGAATTTTGTATTTTTTACCTAGGTTTACCCTTTGTTTCTTCATTGCCCTGTAGGACAATGATTTTTTTATTTAATTTACACAGTCTGTGTCACATGTCTTAAGTAAATAAAGTAACAAACAATTTCCGGCATTTCGGCCTGAAATATTATAATTCTGGCCGGAACTGCTCCTTTTTGCAGCGACCATGATAGTATTTGTAGAAAAGAGAAAGAGATGCAACTTTACGGCAATGGGAAAAAGGCTCAACCTTATCAGATAGAGGGGTCCAACTACGTTTACAATGCGTTTTTGGACCTTGTCTAGAAGAGAAAGAGCATCATTAGAAGAACCAGCCCAAATATGACAACAGTATTCCACATAGGGACAAATACGAGATATGTACAGGTAGAGAATGGAATCAGGAGACAGAAAATGGCGGGCACAATAAAGAGAAGCAACTTTAGCATATGCTAATTAATTTTCACTATATAATTTCAATCAGACTTAAAACTTAAAATTACAAAAAGTTTGCATATATGGTGATTTTAAACCCAAAAAATAAATAAACATAAAATCATGTTAAAATGAATAAGTTAATAAACTTTTTGCTTTAAAACTTTTAGTTTATTAACATGTTAAAATCTTTTAGTCTATTAAAATGATTATTTTATTATGTCCTTTTATTATGTTGCATTTGTTAAAAAATTGTGTATCTTTAGGAAATTTTAATGAATTATATGGCCTCTTATTTCTAATCAATTTTATGGATTTTGTTATATTTTATTTTCACATTTATATACCATTTCATACTGTTTTTAAAAATATATTTTTTACTAACACTTTATATAAATGGTTTTAGTGGTCAAACTGTCTTGGGAATAATAAAATGGTTTTTAATAAAATTTAAAGTTTCATTAATTTAAAAATACTTATACATTTTGTATTATGATTTTTTTTTAATTCTAAAATATGGAATGAAGATGGAAAAAACATGGAATGGGGCCTTTATATCATCAAAGAAAAAGTTCTTTAAAAATAAATTAACCTGAGCCTTGAATAAAACAAAGTTGCGTAAAAGTTTTAAAATTAAAAATCATTTTTTAAAAATATATATATATATAAAAAATTTTCAAAAGCATTTGTAAAATTGTACTTTTTTATTTTCATTTTTAAAATATCATTTTTTATGTAATAATATGTAAAATAATATTTTTTTATAAAGTTTTTAAATTTATATATAAATTAAAAACTGGGTCCTGAGGCACCCCTAAAAATGTTTTTTATTTGAAAATCTAATGTTATTATAATTATTATAAAGAACATATAGATATTAAATTTTATCTACAATTGAAGAATCTGTGAAGCTGGGAAAGCAACCAATCCCAGCTATAGTAGATCCAGTATAGAGGATTACCAAACACAAATAAATAAAAATAAAATATTCAGTATGTAGTGTTAATAACATTCCCAAGCTAGAAACAGTACCGATCATACAGTTTTTTTTGAAGTGAGCCAAAAAGTCTCTCAAGCATTTTTTTTGCGAGCTACACATTTAATAATTTCTGGTGCTTGAATGCGATGGGAAAAAATCCAAAGACCAATGGTCCAGGTTGCGCAAGTGCAGGAGCTGGAGATGGTGATTCAAAGTATTGTATAAGATCGCTTTGGCGCTGTCGATTTTCAAGTGATTGGATATATATAGCTAAGCACCTGTCCTTGGCTTTCATGATACAAAGATATGAGACAAGTTTTGTGGCTCAATTAATAACAGCTTCAAGAGTTTATATTTTCAATTTAATGCTAAGCAGTACTCCAAATAAGGCCTTATATAAGAGCAGTAAAGGACAAGGACCTTTCATGAATCTAATGTTTGAATATGCATTTAAGAATTCAAGAACAGCATATGAGTTTGAAATAGCTTTTGCTACTTGATCGGTTCATGAAAACTGATTGTGAACAACAGCACCAAGGTCACGTTCAGAGTCCGTCTATTTGAGAATGTAAACAAAGCTAGTTTTGTCAGTCATTGTTAAGTGGAAGCAGGGGCTGTTAAATTTATCATCAGTTAAAGTTTCTTTGTTTAGTGTGTGACGATGCTTGTTAAAAATCATGTACTTGCATTTTTCTAGATTAAAGCTCATTGACCATGTTATCTGCAAGAGCAGGTCTAACTATGTTTACAATGTGTTTTTGCACCTTGTTTTTGCAACATTGGAAGATCCGCTCCAGATATGGCGTATTCCATACAATAGCGGATTTATACATATACATATACAGTATTCCATACATATACAGTATTCCATACAAAAGCGGATTTGAGATTTATATAGATAAAGAATAGAATCCAGAGTAAGAAAGTAGGAAAACATCCAGGGCATGCAACTCTAAGACTCAGATGTTGCTGATTTTTACACCATACAAAAATTTTAATAAATTATAAACATTTCCACAATTTTATCATCTACTTCCAAATGGTTTCAAAGATATGGCTCCTCCAACTTTGCCTTGAACCAATAAAAATATAATATTTAAAAAAATGGTTTTGGTCATTGTTTCTGTTCTGTGTGTGATGGAAAGCTGAAAATATGTATACTTACATTTTGAGGCAAGGAACCCAATAAAACAACTTAAAATATTTAAAAATAAACATAACACTTGTAATTTTGACCATTATCGCGATTTTACTGAGGCGAGTTTAATTAAAAAAATGCCAATGTAGCTCAATTTTTTTTTTTAGATGTTCTGAATAGTTTAGTTAGAGTTAATACAAATAATTGGAGAGTTTTCTTAAACAGAAAAAAAAATTGGTCAAGTTTACTTAAATTTGTTAATTAAAAAAATTTATGAATTATGAACAATCAAAGGAAAAAAAAAAACTTGTGAAAAAAAAAAAGTGCTTATTACACACAGTCTTAAGTGCTTATTACACAGCAGTTGATGTTTAATAATTTTAAAAAAATTTTTCCACCCACCCTGAGCTTATAAAGACCCCTCCCCTGTTTGTTAAATTTTACTTGTTACGATCAAAGAAACTGTATCCCAATTTTCTGAAAAAAAAAATTCAGTTATTATTTTTTAATTTTTGAGATCCATTTAGGTCTTAAAAATTAGAAAATATAAACTTATTTATAGCAAGAAAGAAAAAGTTCCCACTCACCTGTTTGGTAAGACTAACTATTCTCCTTCTTTTTTCATCTCCCCCCATTTATTGCACTTGGATAAAAATTCCCATCTATCCTTTTATTTTTATCCCACGTTGTGTTAAGCAATTGAGAGTAACTTGACAGTAATGAAACTGAAAAAGCTTTGATCATATCAAATTGTTTCTTTACTTGTTGCTGACTTCCTAAATTATTTAAGTTTTAAAAAATGCAGATGTAAAGGTTCTTTTTTATTTTAGTTAAAAAAAATATATTTTTAATTGTTTTCAATAATTTAGTTAGAACTATATGAATTGGATTGTGACCCTTAAACCTAATTCATAGTCAGAATGTAATAATCATTAGAATATTATAACAGATATATACAATCTACCTTTGTTTTTTTATCTAAAAATATTTAAAGAAAATAGTTCTCACAGAAATAAGGAAGGAACTTCCAGTTAGGCAATGCACTGCAATAGTGGTAAGTGTTATTGGTAATTTAGGAAGTGTAGTGGTAAGTGTTATTGGTAATTTAGGATGTTTCTAATAGTGGGCTATCTTTTTCAATTGTTTTTAGAGTTGTAGAGGAAGTTGTTTTATTAACTCATTAAGCTCTTGCAACCAATAGACAAATCAAGTTTTAGTTCATATGTAATAAATGAGGGAAGATATGAAGGGGGAGGCGGAGGAATGGGGTATTAATAAACACAAGGGTAGAAGTTTTTATTTTTAATTTTATAAGTGAGTTTATATTTTCTAATTTTTATGACCTGAATGGTCTCAGAAATTAGAAAATAATTAATAAAAATTATTTTTTGTTTTTAGTTTTGAGATACAGTTTCTTTTTTTTACAACAAGCAGCTGTGGCCCAGTGGTAGCGCACTTGCCTCAGACACAAAAGATTTGTTGTTCAAACCCCACCTTTTGGCAAGTTTTGCGACATCGGTTAGGAATGAGGCATGAACTTCCTATTAAATGCTCATCCTCTGTGCTCTGTGATAAGACCGTCTTTGATAAAAATTAAAACAAAAAAACCACAAGTAAATTCAGGAATACGCATTCCCAAAAGGACTCCGGCTTTATATCTCTATTTTTTCCTGGTCTCTGGTGTTCAAAAGCTCTAAATATGTTGGTTTACTTATGATCTGCGAAAAGAAAAAAAACACAAGGTTTAATAGCTTGGAAGATATTGTTTTTAAGCCTGTAGTCCTTGCTGGCATTATACCTAATGACTGCTTGTTCAAAATTAAAAGTTTTTTTCCATTAGTAGTCCATAAGCTTTTTTATGTTTTTAGAGCTCCTGGATACTAAAAACTAAGAAGAAATCTTTTTGCGACTTTCAAAATGCAGTCTTTTTTGGGACTCTGCATCCCTGAATAAAATTCAATAAATAGGGGAGGGTCTTAACAAGCTTAGTGTGGGTTGAAATTTTTTTTGAAAAGTATTAAACATCAACTGCTGTGTATTAACCACTTAAGTGTGCCACCTTTTTTCCTTTTAATTTAACAAATTAAAAGGAAAAAACTTTTAAAGTAACATATCTAAGTAAACTAAACCTTTTTTTTTTTCTGTTTAAGAAAAGACCACTCTCCAATTCCTTGTAATAACTATAACTAAATTATTCATAATAACAGAAAATTTAAAAAAAACCAAGCTACATCGGCATTTTTGTAATTAAACTTGCCCAAGTAAAATTGTGATAATGGTCAAAATTACAGGTGTTATGTTTATTTTTAAATATTTTAAGTTGTTTTATTGGATTCTTTGTCTTAAACTATGTAATATTTTCAGCTTTCCAATGCACACAGAACAGAAACAATGACCAAAAGCATTTTTTTAAATGGTGGACTTTTGTTGGTTCAAAGCAAAATTTGATGAGTCATATCTTTGAAACCATTTGGAATTAGATGATTTTGATAAATTTTAGAAATGTTCATAACTTATTAAAATCTTTAAGTGGTGTAAAAATTAGCAAAATCTAAGACTTATGGTTGCATTTTATAAAAAAATTGGATGCTTTCATATGGAATTGTCGTGAGCATGATAAAGAGAACTTTAGCAGATGCTAACTTTGCAATTGATTTGTTTCTAAGAAAGATTGGAAGGCATTCCTAGAAGATAAAGGGTAGATGACTCATTTTGTACATTACTGAGCATGAATATAATGAAACAAATTGAGTTTATCTGAATTAAAGTTCACCAGCCACTAAAAACTCCATGCTGTAGCAGAAGTAAGATCCTTTTTAAGCTCAAATACTCCCTCTAAACAATCAGAGAGTGTTGTCTTCTTATCAAGACAATAATAATTGGTAGTATCATCAAAAAACAATGCTACCTTAGATGTGAGAATTTCTGGGAGATTGTTAATGTAAATTTAAAAAAGTATAGGGCCAAGGATAGAATCTCGAGGAACCCCTAAAGTTACAAGATATGAAGAAGAGTGCTGTCCATTGAGGACGACTTTTGTACTACAATAGGTAAGGAAAGATTCAATAATCTTAAACATGTCACTTGTGAGAAGACCAGCATGCCACTTTTCAGCAGGCTGGAGAACAAGACTGACAAGTACTTGTTAAATAGTTTTGAAAGTATAGACGACAGTTCCAGAGAACACTTCTGCAAGACTATAACAGGTATATTGTATGGACCACAAGCTGTAGAAGAGTCTAAGCAGGAAATCACTTGAGATACAGAAGCTGGAGTGATACGAAGGTCAGTCAATGGATTAACCTGTTTTTGGCTATATCAGGTAGAATCCAACTAGTGGAATTGAGAGATAATATTGATGAGAAGTTCCTAGTAAACAATTCAGCTTTGTCTTTAGGTGAGGTGAAAAAATCTGGACCATATAAGAGATGCAGAATAACAGATTTACTCTTGTTATAAATACTGTTAAAGATTCTTCAGAAGTTGCGAGAGCCTAATTTTTGAGATTTCGTGATCATGGCTTGGGTTGCAATTATTTTTATATAAATTAGCATTCATAGTTTCATCAATAAATTCAAACTTATCAATGTCATTCGAGGCCTTACAACCTCATAAAATTACACTTCTGCCACCATGTTTAGCTATTCTTCTCACTCACATCTCAAATAAAAAGCTCTATTTATGCAACTCAAATAAAAGCCTTGTTTGTAACCAGGTCAGGACTTTTTAAACCCACAAAAAAAGAAAATGTTTCAAGAAAATTTATATTATATTCGATTTGCAATATACAGTGATTTATGCGGTTTTACATGTACCATTATTTTCAAAAGGTTGTCAACAAGTTGACATAAAAAAAATTTAGATTATTATATTTTTTGAAAATATATTTTTTTGCTTTTTTGCTTACTAAACTTAGTTGAAAATTGACTTTTTATATGAGATTATGTTTTGTGATGGGTCCTAAAAGTTGTTGCTACAAAAAACATTCTTTAAAGTTTCATATTGATTTTGAAAGATTTAGTGGGCTATTGTTATTCAAATATTTAATTTATTGTTTATATTTTAATTTAAACAGTTAGAGAAGTTTATAAAACATCTTCAACCAAATGTTGTAGACAACCAGATCTTTGCATGTGTGGCAACTGGGTTTGGTGATACATTACCTGTTATGCGTGAACAAACTGTAAAGGTATTTACATTTTTTTAATTTTAATATTTTAAATTGTTTTTTTATTTCTTCTATTCTTTTTTTGTTGTTGAACTTGAATTAATTTTGATATTTTATTATCTTATTTTTACTTTAATTTTTAAGATTTTGTATTAAGCTATGTTTCTACTTTTTGTTTATTTCTTTTCATGATTTTTATCAGGCATAAAAATTTATGGTTTTTTTTGTAATGTTATGTGTACATAAGAATTCACACATTTTTGATCATATCGAGCAGTGAGTTTAAAGGCACACAAGAAAAATTTTTCTAGTACAGAAAAATTTTTTATGGAAAATATTTGATACTGAAATACTGAATTTAACAAGAGTAAAAAAATCTGTAGTCTTTTTATTGTTTTTTAGTTTAAAAATGTTTTACCAGTCTTGTTTTCTTTACCAGCTAAGTTTATGCTTCACCAGTTAAATTTTCCTTCCTTTTAATTCCTTTTTTTTCTTGTATACAATATTTTAGTAACTAGACCTATTTCTTTAGTGTTTTTGTTGTTTTTTATTTTTCAAAAAGTTTTTTTTTCAAAAAAATTCTGACTTTTTAATTAAATCTTGAGATTGATTTGAACATCAATTGCAATAAAATTGCAATAAAATTGCAATAAAATTGTTTTCAGAACTTTTAATAAAAATGCTATTTGTGTTATTTTATAAGTGTGAATATTTGTGAGATTGAATAAAGTTACTTTAGATAATGTATATATAGCTGCAAATTTGTGATTATTTTAGATTATATAAAATTTCTTGTAAATAATCTGCATATAGCTGCAAATATGTGAATATTCTAGATTGAATAAAGTTACTTGTAATGTGTACATAGTTGCAAACTTAAATAAACATTATTAGATGCAAGCTTGTTACCCTTTAATAAGGTTTTTCCTCCTGAAAACTGAAAAATTAATGTTTTTCTGCTTAGTTTATGATGTATATAAATATTTAATGTATTGTTGTCTTTGTCCTGTCATTGGATTAGACTGATCTTATATTAGGCCAGGTAAGGCATTTTAGCCATGGTGATCTCAATTTACCTAGGATATGGGAAGTGTGAAACTATCGACATTTAAAAAAAATAATGCTTACAAAACTTTTATTTTAGGTATTCTTTTGTGTGTGCGTGTGTGTGTGTTTGTGACTTATTTACACTTTTTTTTCAATTTACATTTATATATTTTTGTCAGGCTATGCTTCTGTTAGCACCAAAATTATCTGAAAAAACAGTGAACAACCAACTTCTAAAATATTTTGCCAAGCTGCAAATGGATGAACAGGTAAAACTTTTACTACCCAGCAAACATTGTTTTAGTGGATTTGTAGTGTTTTGGCATTTTTATTGGGCCACTAGTTTTACTCATCTGTTACTTAGTGGACAATTAGTGGCAGCTGCTATAAATGGCTAGCCAATAACTTTATGACATGTTAATGTGGCTAGTCATCGGCTAGCCACTTTTGGTGGCTGCCACTAATGGTCTACTAAGTAACCAATGAGAAAAAACCACAGTGGTCAGCTTAAAATGCCTTTATAGGGCCACTAAAATTTCACTGAATGTTTGGTAACAGTTTCACTGAATGTTTGATAACAATGTATTGTAGAACTAATGTAAAAGTAATTTTTTTTAAATAAAAAATTAAATATTTTTCAATTATCAATAACAAAAAAGTTTTTAAATATCAATTATCTTAAATTTAGGGTTAAGTTTTTAATGTTGCATTTTTTTATTATTCATTTTTTTTTGGATAATTTTTGTTTCCACCTACTGAACGTCTATTTGGTTGAAATAATTCCAGTATTTTAAATTCACTGATCAACTAATTAAAATGAGGATAGGCACAGCTAAGAGTAAAAAATGAATTGAGGGTTCAATTCTTTAAAAGTTTTACTTTTTATTACTGTTTTTTTAAATGTCTACAATTTTTAAATGTTCTATGCATTTATTGCTTTGGTTTATTAGGTTTTAAATTTATAATCACTGTTAAAAAATTTGCTGTAGGTTTAACTGAGAATGTCTGACAGTAAAGTGACAGCACTTTCTCCATAAAATTTATGGTTTCCGTATTTCTTTTTTTTTGTTCAAATTAACGGAAAAACTCTGTTAACTAATCTTACAGAGTTTATGTGAAATTCAAAAATAAATAAATAGAATTTATATGTTGTTTTATTTTATTTTGACTATTAAGAAACTACTCGTGAAATGAATAAAAATTATAACATAATACACATCATACACAACATAAAAAAACTCAGTAGTTTTGAGTACTTTGGCTACTTACAAAACATCTAAAGAAAATCTATTTTAATCATATAGACTATATGCAAAACGGTTTGTCTCAGAAATAAATTTTTTGAGTTAATTTTATTTCCACAATCTATACATTGAAATCTATTATCAATTTAAATATTAGACCACTTAAAAGTTTTTTTTTCCTTTCCTAAATAAAAAAAAAATCAGTTTCTGTTGATGCACAACGATGAGTAGCTCAGTTTTCACTAATTTTCTTAAATTCAATTTACTTGGATTTTGGCGTGTTTTCAGATGAACTCCTGATATGTTGATGAAATAATTATTATAGTAACAATAGTTATAATAAATATAAACAAATTATATATAAAAATATATTATATAATATTTATGATAACATTTCATAATATTTTATTATTATAATAGTTACACAAATTATAATAGTTTAAATGTCTTTTGCTATAATGATGCTCTGTCCATTCAAGCAGCGTTAGTTCGTTTACAAAACTCAAAACTTTTGGGTTAGGTCCAACATACTGTTTTTTAGCAGTTTTTTTTTCCAATTTTATTTCATTTTTCAGGATTTTTGCAATACATCTACATAATAATCAGATCAGATTAATAAATCATTATTTTCAGTAAAAAAAAGAAAATAAAGTAAGTTTAAAATATCAAAAAATTGTATGTAGAGCGAGCATGTAGAATGTACAGTTTCAGGTAATCAGGATGCATTGGTTTAGAAGTGTTGGGTAGAAGTAGATAAAATTAGAATACATTGTAGATAATATGAAAAAGCATGGATTTTTATAGATTTTTTTATAAACAAGTATGAAAATATATCTTTACAAATGATCTTGATTATTGTACTTTTGTATTTTGGCAAAAAAGAAACATTTTTGTGGAGTAAATTCATGATTTCAGCTGGCAGTATATCCAGGGAACTTTGAAAACATCTATCCATTTGTCGACCAAAAACCTGAAAGATTCAGATGTAGGTATATTTGAAATTCAAGGTTGGATTAAAACCGGAACCAAAGCATGAACCTGAGGAAAACATTTAATAGTAGTATTTCATTTTAAAAGTTACAATCAAAATTAATCAATATAATATAAATTAATAAAATAAATAAAAATAAATAACTAAATAATAATTTAACAATTATTATCCAAAATTTCTATTCTACAAATAACTTTGTCAAACCACAATTTTAAATAATTTAAATATAGTTCAGATAATGACAGAAGACAGTATTGCACAAGGTGTTAGAATGTGCAACTTATGTTCAATATCAAGTTCACTTGAATATGAATCCCTTGTTACGTGTGTGTATATATATATATATATATATATATATATATATATATATATATATATATATATATATATATATATATATATATATATATATATATATATATATATATATATGTATATATATATATATATATATATATATATATATATATATATATATATATATATATATATATATATATATATATGTATATATATATATATATATATATATATATATATATATATATATATATATATATATATATATATATATATATATATATATATATATATATATATATATATATATATATATATATATATATATATATATATATATATATATAAACACTAAATCCAGTTTAGGATGTTGAACGCTGGATCTTCTTGACTCGATGCATTGGTTTTGCTTGTATCTCTGTTTTTATGACTAGGCAACTCATTCTATTATCTCCAAATGAGGGTACAGCTCTAAAACTCAGTTTTATGGTTCTGAGGCCAGCTGGTAGTCAGGTTTCCCGAATTCTGTGGTAGCTCTCAGAGAGGCTGAATCCATCAACAGCTGAAAAATATCAGAGTACTAACAATGCCATGTTGCGCATGGATGGTGGTCCTGTTTGTACTTTTGGTGTGCATTGCCAAGGCCACATTGGAGCTCTTTGTTACAGCTTAGGGTTTATTACTGGAAATGAGGCAATTGCTTGAGCTGTAAAACAGTGTACTGAGTACTATCTTTGTTAAGTTCTTTAACAAATTTAAAAATGAATAAAGTAACAAAACCATAAAACACAAAAAACCACAGTCATCACCAAGTTTGCTAAACCTATCTTTTACCAATATTCAAGGTCTTCGAAGTAACTTTTCTTCTGTTGAGTCTTATCTCTTGCAAAGTTCACCAGACCTACTTGCTCTTTGTGAGACTAATTTGAGTTCAGCTGTCTCATCTTGTGATCTTAGTGTTGATGGTTATCTTCCTTTAATTCGTAAAGACTCCAATAGTCACATGCTTGGCCTGGGCATTTACATTCGTAAGAATTCACCCATTTGTCGGGAAACTAGGTTTGAATCCACAGACTACTATTTTATGTGCTTTCGTTTAGCACCACTTCACTCTATCACCTTTCTCTTTGTTCTATATCGCTCTCCTTCATCTCAAGACTGCACTCTTCTTGATGTTATTTCTGATTATATTGACCAAGCCCTCATTCTTTATCCATCAGCCAATATTGTTGTTGTCGGTGACTTTAATGTTCATCACACTGAATGGCTTGGCTCTAGTGTCAGTGAATCTGCAGGCATTAAGGCCCACAACTTTTGCCTTTCTCAATCCCTAACTCAAATAGTCAACTTTCCAACTCGCTTTCCAGACAACCCGAATCATTTACCTTCTCTACTCGGCTTATGTCTTGTTTCTAATCCTAGTCAGTGCTCAGTTTCTCCACACTCACCCTTAGGTGCTTCACCTTCATTTCTGATCATGGTTTGGTCTCTCTAAAACTATTATCTCATTCTTCTTTACCATCAGAATCCCCCTATCATTGTACATCTTACAACTACCTTAAAGCTGACTGTGACTCTTTCCGTGATTTTCTTCTTGATGGCCCCTGGGTAGAAATCTTTCGTCTTCCTGTTGACAAATGTTCTTCTTACATAACTTCGTGGATTCAGGCTGGCATGGAATCCTTTATTCCCTCTCGATGATCCTAGGTCAAGCCTCATTCTTCTCCATGGTTTTCCTCACATTGTGCTGCTGCAATTGCTAATTGAAACCATTACTTCCATATCTATCAGCAAAACAATTCTCCAGAAAACAGACGTCTGTTTATTACTGCTAGGAACCATTGTGAAAAGGTTTTGTCTAACGCCAAAGCCCGCTATTCTCAGATCATGAAATCTCGTATTTCATCACAAAAATTAGGCTCTCGTGACTTCTGAAGAATCTTTAATAGTATCAATAATAAGGGCAAGTCTGTAATTCCACCTCTTTTGTACGATTCAGACTTTGTCACCTCACCTAAAGACAAAGGTGAATTGTTTGCCAAGAACTTTTCATCAATATCACCTCTGGATTCCACTAGTTGCGTTCTACCTGATATAGCTGTCAAACAGGTTGCTCCATTGCTCGACATCCGTATTACTTCAGCTTCTGTACCTAAAGTGATTTCCTCCTTAGACTCTTCTACAGCTTGCGGCCCGGACAACATACCTGTTATAGTCTTGCAGAAGTGTTCTCCGGAGCTGTCGTCTATCCTTTCAAAACTATTTAACAAGTGCTAATCAGAGTCTTGTTTTCCAGCCTGCTGGAAAGCAGCATCTGTTATCCCTATTTTTAAAAATTCTGGAAAGCGATCCGATTTGTCTAACTACCGTCCCATTAGTCTTCTTCCTATCATAAGCAAGGTTTTTGAATCTTTAATTAACAAACACTTAATCTCTCATCTCGAATCTCATAACCTACTTTCTGATCATCAATATGGATTTCGATCTTCTCGTTCTACGGCTGATTTGCTATCAGTAATAACCAATAGGTTTTATTGCGCATTAGATAAAGGTGGAGAGGTTAAGGCCATTGTTCTTGACATTTCTAAAGCGTTTGATAAAGTTTGGCATGCTGGTCTTCTCCATAAGCTTTCTTCTTATGGTGTATCTGGAAACATCTTTAAGATTATCGAATCCTTCCTTTCCAATTGTAGTATAAAAGTTGTCCTCGATGGACAGTACTCTTCTTCTTATT